AGCCTGACGTGCCTTAACCGATTGGGCCACAGAGTTTATACGTTCTTTTTATTAAAAAAAAGTCTTAAATAATTGTCTGACTTTGTCCATTTCATAATGTATAAATATTAATGCAATGCTTAAATGTACAGATCAATTTTGAGGTCTTCTGTAGTTTATTGTTGCCTATGACATCTACTCCTGCCTACTTATTCGGCGGGGAGACCAATCAAGAACATCCCGCAAAACAATGGCAGTAATGAAAACTTGATAATCCCAAATCTCAGGATTAGGGGTCGGACTGATTCCAAAATGTTAGGTTATATTACACTACGGCCTCTAGGAATAAAGTTGTAAACACAGATAATTTTATTTTGAAACACTGTAATTTGAGAACAGTAATTTGAAATGACCTATTGAATATCAGAGAGTTGTGTCTCTTTAAGTTGAAAAAGTGTGACACATGTTATATATATATAACGTCATCCACAGACAGACTGTTTCGCAGCTCATCAGTGTGGCTAGACATCCGGTTACCTCTAGCTAGGATCGAAACCCGATTGAATTGGTGTTAGTCGGAGATTCTAGACATTAAGCCGTCGGCGCAAGATAGGGATAAAGGTGGATTTTAGCGTATTTATTTTTAGAATAAAACACGCCCAGTGACCAACAGTGACTCAATTCGCTTTTGCGAAGAGTCTCTCTATATATATATATATATATATATATATATATATATATATATATATATATATATATATATATATATATATATATATATATATATATATATATACCTAGTGAGCCAGACAAACCTTCCTAGGTTTCACCTAAACGGATCGTCAGGAAAGTCCTTACTTTCCCTGATGATCCGTTTGTCTGGCTCACTAGGTGTATCTAGGTCTGCTCTACGGTTGTATTGAGCTCTTTTGTTAGTTAGTTGTTTACTCGTGTCAAGGTTTTTTCTTTGGGCTTCAGACCTGTATCTGTGCGATTTTTTTGTCGGCAGAAGTTCATGTTTGTAGCTCTTTCTTTTTTTAAAACCTTTTTTTCCCTCGGGATTGATTTGATTATTAGCAAATCAAAAATTCGAGGGTTTTTCGAAACGAGTCTAGTTATATATATATATTAGCAATAGAAATTTGAATAATTTTACATAATTATTCAAGTCTAGATCAAGAATCCTCAGAAGAATGCAGAAATCACTAGACGGCCATTTCGTCCTACTTGGAACTCATCAGCAATGTGCATCCCCTACCGAGAATCGAACCCGGACCGTTACGATACAACGCAAGCGTCATACCACTGGACGAAGAGGAATCTAACTGGACTAAATATAGTGCAGCTTCTCCTAATTCCGGTGGTGATATTTATCAAAGTATACATAACACACCAGACCCCCAAGAGCAACGTCTTCTTTTTACTGGGAGTTTTATTAAAAAAAAATATTATTACACAGGGTACGGTAGAAATATTTCCCACACGTATCTCCCAGAAATACCTCGCACAATGTGGTAAGGCAGCTAGCTACCATTGCCACTAAAGTCTTACTATTATACAAGAGGTATTTCAGGGAGGTTAATGTGGGAGGTATTTCTGCCGCATCCTGTGTAAGGGAAGAAGTATGCGATAGCAATTTAGAACACTTGTCTAATTTTTTTTTTTTTTTGTATTGAAATTTTCCTATATCTTAATCCCTTGCTTAGTTTCTGTAAGGCACATTTCGCTCTTACTACCTGCTTTCGGAATTCTATTTTACATTTTCCAACTGACTGATTTGTTTTTTCGGCTTACCAAACTTTTGTGAGTTCTTTAAAACCGAAATATTTTGGATTCTAAGAATAATACCTTTTTTTTTTTGCGGGGCAGGGGCGAGGGTATATTGTATAAAAAATTTCTGAGAATAACAAAGGATTTGTTCAAATACAAGTTTTACTATTTAACCTATAGATGGGGATGAAAATGGATTCACACCTTTTCCTAAATGTATTTGTGCGGAAGCGAATGTAATGATCCCGACTGGAATTCGATCTTCTCTTTCTGAGCCGCCATCGATTAGACTACTCATTTTCCGGCGTCAGTCAAGACAGCCGACGGAAAATACTATTGTTTAGTAATCCTAAATCAAGACTTTTTACTTAGATTAAATTTCCTTCCAGGTCCTAACTATTGTGGGGCTCGCCCCTTATACACAAGATGGACTCGTCCAAAGTATACTTATACTACGGAGAGATAGCGTGAGAAAAACGTCGAGACCGGGTGTTCACCCAGAGTTATACGAGAGTCCAGAAAGAGAGATAATTACGGCTTCACTTACAGAGATTTGTACATATACTTTTCTACTAACCCGCATTCCTGGACTACTAATCTTCATTTCAAGTTTGTATTCTTACGTTTAATACACTTATTTTTCTGTTTCAATTACTGGCGTTGTTTATTTATCTGTGCAGGATTCCATCCCCGGAATCCACAACACCAACCAAAGACATAAGGTCAGAAATGAGATAGATAAAGCGCTTCGTAATGCGTGAGCTGTACTTGTTGGGGACAATTTTTGAGTATTCCTTTAAGGCATGGTCTATCGGGAATCTCTTCAATGAGTCTATAGGAACTTTTTCAAATCCATCCGAGGGCTCCAAATTATTATTATTATTATTATTATTATTATTGTTGTTGTTGTTGTTGTTGTTGCTGTTTTATTTCCTTTGATTTCCGGTGTGTACTCATTTCTGCCCGGGTCCCAACCAGAGACCTAAGGCCAGAAATGTCATCATGACATTTTTCACTGAGCAGTTTTCAAAAAAAATATTATCATTGTTATTGTTATTATTATTGTTGTTTTTGATGATGGTGGTGTTGGTAATCTTATTAGTAGATTATTATCGTTGTTATTAATAGATTATTATATTATTATTATTGCATTAATATTATTATTATTATTATTTAGATTATTATTATTATATCGAATATTATTATTATTATATAGATTATTATTATTTAGATTATTATTATTTATAGTTTAATTTGTTAACATTAGATTATTATTATTATTATTATTGGTTCATTATTATCATTATTAGTTTACTACTTCTATTATTAGTATTGTTACGAGGTTATTATTATTTTGTTGTCACTAGAATATTATTGGTTTCTTATTGCTCTCATTACTGGATTATTATTATTATTATTATTATCGTTGTCATTACAGAGTTATTATTAGCTTATCGTAACATTAATTGACAATTATTATTATTAATAATATTATAACTGTTGTTATAATTATTATTTATTTGTTACCTTTATCATTATTGTATTACTGCCATTATTATTATTATTATTATTATTATTATTATTATTATTTCCTTTGATTTCTGTTCTATACATATTTCCTTCTGGGTCCCAACCAGAGACCTAAGGTTAGAAATGGCTTCATGGCATTTTCCATTGATCATTTTAAAAACAACGATATTATTATTATTATTATTATTATTATTATTATTTCCTTTGATTTCTGTTATATACACCTTTCCTCCCGCGTTCCAACCAGAGACCTAAGGTTAGAAATGGCTTCATGACATTTTCCATTGATCATTTAAAAAACAACGACATTATTATTATTATTATTATTATTATTATTATTATGATTTCCTTTGATTTCTGTTGTATACATATTTCCTTCCGGGTCCCAACCAGAGACCTAAGGTTAGAAATGGCTTCATGGCATTTTCCATTGATCATTTAAAAAACAACGATATTATTATTATTATTATTATTATTATTATTATTATTATTATTTCCTTTGATTTCTGTTCTATACATATTTCCTTCTGGGTCCCAACCAGAGACCTAAGGTCAGAAATGGCTTCATGACATTTTCCATTGATCATTTAAAAAACAACGATATTATTATTATTATTATTATTATTATTATTATGATTTCATTTGATTTCTGTTCTATACATATTTCCTTCCGGGTCCCAACCAGAGACCTAAGGTTAAAAATGGCTTCATGACATTTTCCATTGATCATTTAAAAAACAACGATATTATTATTATTATTATGATGATGATGATGATGATTTCCTTTGATTTCTGTTCTATACATATTTCCTTCCGGGTCCCAACCAAAGACCTAAGGTCAGAAATGGCTTCATGACATTTTCCATTGATCATTTAAAAAACAACGATATTATTATTATTATTATTATCATCATCATAACTGGTTTACTATTATTATTATTGTTGCTTGTGTACTTCGGGGCGGTGTAATGGTTAGCATGCTTGTCTCGCTTGAACAATTACGGCTGAATAGTGAGTTCGATCCTCACTGAGTGTCCCATACTTTCGGCCTTGTGCCACATTTAAGCTACGCTTGGAAAATCTTTGTTGTTGTTGATCTTTCGTGGATGCAACTATATTCCGCCTTTTTGAAAGGCTGAAAGAGACCAAAGATACACTGTTACGGGGTTTTTGTGTTTGTTTGTTTTTTCTAGTGGGTAGTCATCGAACATCGATCGTCTTCCCCGGATCACTTTCCAAGGGTCGACACTGATTCATTGATTTGCATCGCTAACCTCTAAACATTGACTAACTTTGCACCCAATGCCTGAGAAGCTTGCATCGGGCCGCCCTGCCCATTACCGGAAGAACGAATCGGAAGCGGATGCGCTGTATTTCCCGCCGTTTCTCTCCGTTCTAGTCGGTTAAACATCGGAAAGTTGTCCGGTCCGTTTGAATTGAAGTCACTTGTACCCTATGCCTCGAAATCAGTTGCCATACGCATACGACCCTCCATATATATATATATATATATATATATATATATATATATATATATTGAGGCAGCTGTTCAATCCTCACTTACCCGGTTTGATAAAGATCAAAATCATTTACGCGTTTTTGTAAAGGATGACATTAGTTATTCCCGAACCTTCAACAGCATTACATAATAATAATAATAATAATAATTTTTAATCTACCTAGCAGTGGCCAGCTATATATATATATATATATATATATACAGATCGATAGATAGATATGAAAAACGGCGATAGATAGATATATCGATAAATAGATAGCTATGAAAAGAGGCAATAGATAGATAGATAGATAGATAGATAGATGTGAAAAGCGGAGATAGATAGATAGATAGATAGATAGATAGATAGATAGATAGATAGATAGATAGATAGATGTGAAAAGCGGAGATAGATAGATAGATAAATAGATAGATAGATAGATAGATAGATAGATAGATAGATAGATAGATATGAAAAGCGGAGATAGAAAGATATATCGCTCGACAGATATGGAAAGCGGCGAGAGATAGATAGATAGATAGGTAGATAGATAGATAGATAGATAGATAGATAGATATTATTCTAAGATGCAATGTTGCAAGCCTGTTTAGTCTATCGCTATTTCGCAATAGCTGCCATCTTTAGCTCCAATATTTCAGGTCTTTACTGCTAGAAGATTCCAGGCCACGTCCATGGAATCGTATCTATCTTATTTCCGTCTTGTTTCATACGTAGGAGCGAAGAATCGCCCCGCGTGGGCGTTTCTCTGACTTCTTCCTCTTAAGGGTCAGTTATTATCTGGGAATATTATCCCCATACTGACCACTACCTCCCACCTTCTCTTCCACTCATTTCACATGCCTCACTCATTATTACCAATTCTATATGGAGAGGCTATCAGGCCTTATAATGGATGATATTTAGTAATAAATACTTAGTTTTATAAATACAGACAATACAGTTAAATACCTAGGTCAATTTAACTAGATAAATGCAAATAAATGGTCAAACTGCCCAACCATTAGAATTGACATAATTCGTAATATACAATAACAAGAACAATAATAGAAAGCAATCAAACGCTATGAGTAAGGCGAATTAACAGTAATCAGGCCGAGCAACAGTATCAAAAGTTCAAAAAGTTCAAAAACTAAGAATTGGTGTTTACACACAAGAGCAAATACGTATAAAAGAACGCAATGTTCTGACTTCAAGGCAAGACAGATCGGGTCTGAGTCAGATGAAACCGGTCTATTTTATTGTCTAGGAAGAAATCCCACCATAGATTTGTATGCTTCTGTCTATAGATTTGGGAAGTGGGCAAGTGGCAAGTGATTTGCTGTCATTTCATACAGGATTTCACTTAGTCGGAAATAAATATACATTCCCCACAGTATTGCAATTTTTGTCCTTGGCCCGAATGTAGGCGCTCGGGTTACCCATATAAAAGCCGACCTTGTGTAACATCTCATCTCAGTGGGGAGACTGGTGTCAATAACTATTTCATACAGGATGGGAACCAACACAGAGATTTGACATTTCTAGAGCACCTAATGTGGAAAGAAGGCTTGGAAAATTTGACGCTCACAGGGCGTATCGAAAGCAAGAACGATAGTCGCCTGACAGAAATGGGCATGAGTAGTGATAGTAAAAAGGTGTTCTTCATTCAGATTTTATTTTTCTTATAATTTTTGGTGGTCACCGACAGTTGTGCCAATTATTTATTCAGTCGAAATAATATATTGACGTAATCGACGATGGCTGAGGAAAAGTATTATCCCAAACAGAAGTAACAGCGCGTAATCTATAATTATAGTGTTTACGGTCAAGGCAGCTTTTCCTATACATTAGAAAATTGAGCATTGTCATATTTGGGCGGACGCTATCTCGTCCCCAGTTTCCTGTCTCGATAGAGTTCAGAAAGCGTCTACGAGTCCTATTGAGGTGAGGAATTGTTTCCCACCCTCCAATCTCTCTCTCTCTCTCTCTCTGTCTCTCTCACACGCACCCACACACACACACACACGGGCGGTACGTGGCGAGCCTCTCACTGATCTATCGCTAGAAAGTGCTCGGACGAACTACATTCCTTGGTTCCGCCAGGTCTATTCACGGCTAGGACCCAACATACCACTTCCATAGTATCAAATCGTCCACATTCCTGCCGTATTCCATCGGTAAGAAGTAAGTTTCACTCAAACAGCTTCTTCCTGCGAACCACTGCTCTATGTTTCCCCGATTACTCGCCTATCTTGACCTGTGGTTCCGCCAGGTCTATTCACGGCTAGGACACGCCATGCCACTTCCATAGTATCAAATCGCCCACATTCCTGCCGTATTCCATCGGTAAGAAGTAAGTTTCACTCAAACAGCTTCTTCCTGCGAACCACTGCTCTATGTTTCCCCGATTACTCGCCTATCTTGACCTGTGGTTCCGCCAGGTCTATTCACGGCTAGGAAACGCCATGCCACTTCCATAGTATCAAATAGCCCACATTCCTGCCGTATTCCATCGGTAAGAAGTAAGTTTCTTAAACAGCTTCTTCCTGCGAACCACTGCTCTATGTTTCCCCTGATTACTCACCTGTCTTGACCTTTTCAAGTCTAGAGTTAGCCGTTATCTTCCCCTCCTATCAGTATAAACAAACCGATAACGTAGTGTTTCTCAGTCTCTTTCACTTTAGGGTTCACTTGTAGAATGACAAAACCTCCTGGGCACACTCTAAATAAGTTAGTCACAAAATTTGAAAATAGGAAAATAATGAAAAAAGTCTCTGGAAATTAGCATTTATTTTTTTTGACATTACATTTGTATATTTTAGTATGCTTCTGTGAAATTTGTGCTTACGCAATTTTTGAATGGTAGGTCTTAAATGAGGACGCGAAATCCTCATACTGGCACAAATATCTCCAGTTCTTTCTCTCCAGGGTAACTCCCTCAAAGTTAGTATCAGGGACATTGACAGCTGAGAGGTTACTCTTTAGCTTGTCTTGATACCTGAGCCACGACTTTCCAACCCTCCTTTGTCCACTGTCAAGCTGGCTATATAGGAGGTCCTTACGTATTCTGTCGTCACTCATCCTTGCACCAGGAAAGTCTCACGCCAAGCAATGTTGCATTTTGCATTGGACACCCTCAAACAACTTTGATGTTTTTTTTTCTTCTCCACCAACAAACCCATGGGGTGTTTAATCTTTTAGTGTTGATTGAAAGTTAAGTATGAAGGGGGTGAAAATAGGGTAAGAATGCAAACTATCTTAAGATACTGTCGTGTTTTTATACCAATGCATAAAACAGAAGATTGTTCCTATACAATTTGGAAATTGTAATAAATAAAAAGAAAATGATTTACAGAACTTGTCCATATTATTTAAACAAACATCTTTGTCGAAATACACCTTATATATATATATATATATATATATATATATATATATATATATATATATATATTACTGAAAAACAGACCACTTTTAAGGTTTCATTATAATAATTTATTTCACCAGAGCCATTTCAAAGAACACCGGATCATCAGATAATCACTTCCAAAAGATGAAACGAAAAATGAAATGAAAATTGATGGGTATTGTAAGTTTTTGTAATTTAACAGAGGGTAATGAGGAGTGGTTTGAGAGACATGGTTATGTTGAGAGAGGGTTTATTTTAATATTTCTTTCAATCATACTTAGTATTGGGGGAGAAGGGTCCAGACCTTGACCTGTTATATATATATGTATGTATATATATATATATATATATATATATATATATATATATATAAATGGGGGTGTTAGCAAAATCAATGACAAGTGAAAAATATTTTTCGTGGGAAGTCTTTCGTCCTTTTGACCATCGTCTGGGCTGAAGTGCTATTTACGTTGATGTGATAGCGACTGACAGCACGTATACACAGATAGATAGATAGATAGATAGATAGATAGATAGATAGATAGATAGATATGAACAGACTGAGAAAGAAAGAAAGAAAGAAAGAAAGAAAGAAAGAATAACGTAACGTCCATCTCAGAAAATAGCTGTAGGACAACTAATCGACTGTCGAAACAATAGTGTCTGGGCGTGATAAAAATCTGATGCTATCACGGATGAAAGTTAATCAAATAATTGCAAGTTACATATTTTTTAGATTTCACTTCATGCAAGGCTGTAAAGCCACTAAGACACAAGGGTTTAAAGAGTGTGGAAGAATTAGGGACAAAAACATTAATATTGAACAGGGAGACGAAAGAGTAATCAGAGGGACAGTAGATAGCAACCTGTCATTGCATTTAAATTTTTGCAGATTAAAGATGGTTGAAAAGCATGGAACCAGAATGGAGTTCCACAAGCGAGAAGTGCGAGAAAAGAAACTGCTAGCATAGAACTTACGGCTACATCTAGCCACCTCAACTGTAAATTAATAAGATCTCAACGCCAGTCTAGTTGTTTTTTTTTCTTTTTATGTGTCATGTCCTTTCAGGATGTAGGCGATCATGGCTCTCCACCTCTCTCTATCCCTTGCAGCTCTCAACAAGTTCCTTCCCTCTGCTTCCTCCCCCAGACAACGTTCTGTCATCCACTTGCTTAAGTCTACCAGGTATGTTACGTGTTCTTTTCTCTTGTCTCTCTTTCCCTCTATTCGACCTGTGAGTATCAGATTCTCCAGGCCTTCCTTTCTCATTATGCGTCCTTTTTCCTTTTTATGTGTCATGTCCTTTCAGGACGTAGGCGATCATGGCTCTCCACCTCCCGCTATCCCTTTTTTCATTCTGTCATCCACTTGCTTAAGCCCGCCAGGTATGTCACATGTTGTTTTCCCTTGTCTCTCTTTCCCTCTACTTGACCTGTGAGTATCAGATTCCTCAGGTCTTACTTCCTCATTATGTGTCCTTTTTCCTTTTTATGTGCCATGTCCTTTCAGGACGTAGGCAATCATAGTTCAGCACCTCCCTCTATCCCTTGCAGCTCTCAACAAGTTCCTTCCTTCTGCTTCCTCCCCCAGACAACGTTCTGTCATCCACTTGCTTAAGCCCGCCAGGTATGTCACGTGTTGTTTTCACTTGTCTCACTTTCCATGTATTCGACCCGTGAGTATCAAATTCTCCAGGTCCTCCTTTCTCATTATGTGTCCCAGAAACTTCCGCTGTCTCTTGCTGATATTAAGTATAAGCCTCCTCCTTGTTTATAACCTCACTAAGACCTCATCGTTGCTCACACGCTCGGTCCATGATATCCTTAGCATCCTTCTGTAGAACCACATCTCCGTCGCCTCGAGTCTCTTCTTCATCTTTGAGGAAATCTTCCAACATTCTCTGCCTCTTCCTGATGTTAATTATAAGCCTCCACCTTGTTGGCATCCTCTCTAAGTCCTCACTGTTGCTCACACGCTTGGTCCATGATATCCTTAGCATCCTTCTGTAGAACCACATCTCCGTCACCTCGAGTCTCTTCTTCACCTTTGAGGAAATCTTCCAACATTCGCTGCCTCTTCCCGATGTTAAGTATAAGCCTCCACCTTGTTGGCATCTCTCTAGGTCCTCACCGTTGCTCACACGCTTGGTCCATGATATCCTTAGCATCCTTCTATAGAACCACATCTCCGTCACCTCGAGTCTCTTCTTCATCTTTGAGGAAATCTTCCAACATTCGCTGCCTCTTCCCGATGTTAAGTATAAGCCTCCACCTTGTTGGCATCCTCTCTAGGTCCTCACCGTTGCTCACACGCTTGGTCCATGATATCCTTAGCATCCTTCTGTAGAACCACATCTCCGTCACCTCGAGTCTCTTCTTCATCTTTGAAATCTTCCAACATTCGCTGCCTCTTCCCGATGTTAAGTATAAGCCTCCACCTTGTTGGCATCCTCTCTAGGTCCTCACCGTTGCTCACACGCTTGGTCCATGATATCCTTAGCATCCTTCTGTAGAACCACACCTCCGTCTCCTCCAGTTTCTGCTTCATCTTTAAGGAAATCGTCCAAGATTTGCTGCCGTAAAGAAGGACAGATGTCACGTAACAGCTCGGTATTCTTTTCTCTGTTAACAAAGATCTCCTCCTGTCTCGCAGTACTCTGCCTAGCTTTTGAAATGTGTCCTTGACCATCCCACTACGTCGACGGATCTCAGTGTCACACTTACCGTCTTATAGCGAAGAGCTCCGAAAAATTACCGGGAAAGTATTTATAGAAAAGAGATATATGGGCAACATTACGGCAGTGACTAAAGTCGAGCTGCCAGATCAGGGCCGATAATATTGTTGATTCTTCTTTGGATTTTCTACCTCGAAATGGTTTGGCAGCAAATCTATTTCTTCAAAGACGTACAAAGGGAAAGTCTTTTGATTAAGCCGAGAAGAAATCACATCACATTAGACCCATTGACCAAATTTAGACACTTTTCTGAGTCCATGAAAGTGTTTTATAATCGAATTGCGATTTTTATTGAACGGTTCTGCAAATTCTCTTATTTATTAGTTTGCTTTTTGTTTTTTTGTATCACCTGTTGTTTTATGAAATTCAAAATCGACAGAAAATGGCCGTTTGCGATCTACAAACATCCGTTGTAGACAACGATATATTAAAAATATAAGATCCTTTCTTGTATATTTTTCTTTTTTTTTTTTTTTTTTTTTTCCAGAGTTAGATTTGCTGCCCTCTCTTGAGAATGATCTAGGGACCCAGTGAGTTCAAATAATATTTTCAGAAGTTCAAAATCGACAGAAATTGGCCGTCTAGATTGGGATCTTCAAACATCGATTGCGGACAACGATGGGTTAAAAATATAAGTCCCACTCTTGTATATTTTTCTGTTTTCTTTTTTTTTTTCTTTTTTTTTCAGAGTTAGATTTGCTGCATTCTCCTGAAAATGATCTAGGGACCAGTGAGTTCAAATAATATTTTCCTCATCTAAGCGGAACTTGATATTGTTACTTTTATGGCACCTTGCATTTATTGGAAATATTCATAGAAATATGAGTTAATTTTTCCTTATTCAGTTTATTAAACAGGTTGTTAATTTTTTTTCTTTAAAACGGAAAATAACTGGGTTGAAAATAATTCACTAAGAATGTACTAAACGATCCTAAAGCAAGGAAAAAGAAAGAAAGGAAAAAGGAAGAAAGGAAAGATAATAACAAAAGGGGGAAAGAAAGGAAAAGACATGATATCAAAACAGGCCGCTGGGTGTGGACCAGATGTCGGTCAGAGCCTCTGACTGACCTTAATTTTTGTTGAAAGAATAGAATTGGAGATATCGGTCGCGAGCGCTGACCGACATTTTCGTAGAGGATTCTTATCAAAATAACGAAAAGGTAACTTTTAAATTAGAATAATAGAAATGAATTTTACTTTAGTCAGAGAAAGTGTCTTTGGGTTGGGGAAGTGACTGGTGAAAACGATATACGGAATTGACCTGTTAAAATTGGACACCCACGTTAAGAAAGTAGAGATATTTCGACCTAGATAATTAAGATTCTCGGCTATCAGGAAAAACAAAAGGTAAAAAAAAAAGAGCAATTGTTTTTGGACCACGGAGGGCGCCAGGAAGGCGGAAAGATCCTTTCTAAAAGTCAAGACTAATTAGCAGCGGGCTGTTTGACAAAGTCCAGGTGAGAGAGGGCAAGGATTGTCATTTTGCGTACGTGCAAAAAGGTGCGAAATCGGATTTTGTTTTTTTAAAACCAGCACGATGTAACCACCCCGCCAACAAAAGGAGAGGGTGTTCGGTCAATAACAATTGGTCGAATACAATCACGTGACCGCGGAAGAAGAAGGAAAAACCTCGATCAATAACTGTTGGACGAGGCGGTCACGTGGGCTGCGGAAAAGAAGAGAAAGAAAGGTTCGATCAGGAACGATTGGTTGGAGAGCGATCACCTGACATGAGAGAGACTAAGAGAAATAGATATGCGCCGCCCCCAAGAGCACTGTGAGAAAGTAGGGGTGAAAACAATAACGATAATGGAAAGTCAAAATTAATACGGCTTTTGAAATTATCGAGAAACCCCTGACGCCGACCGACCCACCCCGGTTTGTTGCGGCGTCAATATAAGCAGGACCCCAGTCGGCAGAAATCAGTTGGAGCTGAAGTTGGAGCTGAAGTTGGAGCTGAAGTTGGAGCTGAAGTTGAGTTGAAGTTGGAGCTGAAGTTGGAGCTGCGCCTCGGATGAAGAAGGAGTTTGAGCGCGGGCTGCGGGCCCGGTTCATTCGCCCCCTTGCGGGCAAGAAAGGCCGGTCCGTTTGGCCTAAGTGGAGAAGTTGCAGTCGCGCACTGACAGCGGAGATGAGTGAACAATAATTCAGAAGCCGAAGAGAAGAAATCAGTTGGAGCTGAAGTTGAGTTGAAGTTGGAGCTGCGCCTCGGATGAAGAAGGAGTTTGAGCGCGGGCTGGATTGGTTCATTCCCCCTTGCGGGCAAGAAAGGCCGGTCCGTTTGGCCTAAGTGGAGAAGTTGCAGTCGCGCACTGACAGCGGAGATGAGTGAACAATAATTCAGAAGCCGAAGAGAAGAAATCAGTTGGAGCTGCGCCTCGGATGAAGAAGGAGTTTTGGGCGCGGGCTGCGGGCCCAGTTCATCCTTCGGGCAAGAAAGGCCAGTCCGTTTGGCCTCAAAGTGGAGAAATTTCCAGTCGCGCACTGACAGCGGAGAAGTGAACAATAATTCAGAAGCCGAAGAGAAGAAATCAGTTGGAGCTGAAGTTGGAGCTGAAGTTGGGTGGAGAAGTTAGAGTTCATCCCCGGACGGCAGCGAAAAGAACCCTCAGACAAGAAGAACTTCCAGCCAAAGAAGAAGAAGAAGAAATACAACTCAAGTCGGAGAGAAGAATCAACTGCGAATGATCGATAGAAATTAGCCCCAGTGTCGAACTGAACACACTCCGACATACATACATGATTCTAGAAAGTAGGTAATTCGACATTTTCCTATTGTGTGATAGAAGCTTGGTGCCATAGTCCACAGAGCGGGTCGGGAATTGAGAACAATTTTGTTTTTATGTAACGGACTTTAAGATATAAAGGTTGTTACCCTT